ACATTGGAAACTGAAGAAAATGACAAATTGGCCTTCCTAGATGTGGCACTCTTTCAAAGAGATGATGGTTCTCTAGAGCGTCGAATGCATAGAAAATCAACTTGGACGGGACAATATACACACTTTTACGGCTTCGGCCAACTCAGACAGAAGAGAAATTTAACTCAGGGTCTCACATCACGAGCGCGAAAGATCTGCTCAGACAATGTGGCAGATGAAGAACTAACAAAAAAATTAAGGTCATCCTCAGAGAACACAGCCATCCTGAACGTTTCATTGAGAAACTTTCAGGAAAGGCGACAATCCGAACAGGTTCATGGGGCCCAAAAGAAGAAATTATTCATTCATTTACCTTTTGAAAAAACGTCTGACGTGTACAGTGAAGCGGACCTACAACGCAGCTCAATTATCATGTGTGTTCACTGGCTCACTCATCACCCGAACTAGCCACAAAGATAGGATGCCTACGCTGGCCACTTTTATGATTATCTACTCCTTCCGGTGCGTTTGTAAGGCAACGTACATTGGCCGCACGGCGATACAAATATCCCAACGGGTGAACGAACACTGCTCACGCTGGTTAAAACAAGGAGGAACAGGAAGCATAGAAAGCACTAGTCTTGGTCATCTGGTGAATACAGGCCATCAAATTAGACCAGAATCCGCCTTCAGCGCATATATATGTATACTTAACACCGGCTTCAGAACAAGCTTGGTGCCAACGCCATAACAATATTTACACTATCGTGCGCCCCCAACTCCTCTAAAGCAGTGCGCTTACCCACTAGCCACCGCTGAAACGATAGGCATTTGCCTGTTCGCACCAGAACTCTGTGCATAAACACAAGTTAACGTGATAAATTCTGTTATTGATGACATTGCTCATTTTCCCGGTCTTATATCCAGGAATAATCGACTTTTAAATATGAATATGAGAAATACTGCAAGCTGTGAACATACTGGAACTAGTTATTGACCAAATCGAACTTCAAAATGTCAACAACACAGTACCTACTACCGCGACCAGTTGTTTGTTGTTTAGTCCCCATCAAGCAACCACTGCTTGAAAAATTACTTATCTTCGGCGCATCGCTGCACCCCCGTTCGTCTAAGGTTTATCCAACAGGAGTTATTGAATGAACCAACATTCTTGGTCTCAGAAAAGTGCGCTTTGATCTGCAATTCTCTTTTGGAAATACCTAGTTTTGTTTTGAGATTATGTGACGTGGAAAGTTGTGAAATAGAACCGTGAACAGGTCTGGTACTGATCTTTTGCTGAATTCCTTCTTTTGATCTTCCTACTTACAGGAGTACGATTGGACGAGGCAGATAAAAAGCAATTACCACACCGAAAAACCAGGTACTTTGTTGGATCAGTGAGACATGTGATATTTTGCTGTATTTCGCATCATGATTTGATACGATAGAAGGCGTGAGTGTCTTATTGGCGTGTTCATTTTGTCGAGATTTTTAACTGATCAGTGCTTGTCTGTACAGCTGCGCTTCGGGTGCACCTGTTTTGGCCTGGGTAACCTGGCAGCATTTAGTTCACAAGCAAATCATGGAACGTTTTTCTTTTTTATAAAGATAATTGTATCGTGATTTGTTTGGCACACAGCCTGGCATCAGACGTCTGTAACATATGTATATGTATATATAATTTAACATACGCCCACGTTCAGACTGCAGCAAACGAATCAAAATAATCCGTATAAAAAAAGTTGCATGAGTTGCATGTGGGTGGAATACTGCCGGTTTTCTTGGTCAGTGCAGGTGAATTTTCTTGGGGACTTCACAGCCGCAACCTTCGGTGAGCCAAATCCTGCCCCACAGGGCTGCGGGGCGCTGTGTTAATATGGCAGTCCACTGGGGGCCGGTGTCCAGTTCATTGGATCATGCGGTCTTTGAACGGGATTAAACATCCAAGGTGCCCAGTATACCTCGATGCCATATCAAGCCCTGCCACAACCAAGGTGTGCGCAGGTGTTGTTATACGCCTCTTCTTGATTGATTTGGAATTAGGGCTTTTAGCCAACTCACCTGGGTGAACTACCGGGGGTCCTTCGACCCAGTTATAGCCCCGGATATTGGCTTTGCATCCTCTCACTTTGGTGGGAAAATATCTCCACGGGAAGGCGGTGAGTAAGGCTTTCTCAGTAGAGGTTGTTTGAGACGCTTGTCCTATGAAAGCATGTAGTGATGTGCAAGGGAAGAGTGATCAGCCACAACCCAAGGCACTCACCATAATTATACGGAGGCTTTCGTAGGACAAGTCCAAGTCTGCACTAAACTAAAGATTTTTGTGAAAAACGTTCTCGTTTTCGTACCAGAGCAGTGAACTTTATACGTTAATTATTGAACTAGATTTAATAGGGCTATTGATTGATGATCCGTCTTCTAGGCTTTTATTCAGTGGAGAGAGTTACAAAAAATTCAACCGATGCCCTATTTTGGCTCCAACCAGTTGGCTCATACTATGATGAAATGTAAGCTGTGGAAAGGTAAATAAATTTGTTCACCACGAAATAACGCCAGTAGCAAAGAAAATGAGAGGATCTATAAGCACTAATAAGCGATGGACCCCCATTTATTCTTCCGGGTCCTTTCTGATCTGATTGAGTGCACGGCAATGAAGTCATTTTTGCTTTATCACATGGGGCACTTCTGGCAAAAATATCTACGGTACACGTAGCCCTTTGACTTCTCTCTCTGAAACGGGAAACAAGTTCTCGATTACATAAACAACGGAGCTAATAGGTGGAAACGGAATTATGTCAACATTGAATCCTCGTATATTTTCCGAGTTCTAATCAAATCAATGAGTTCGAGCTAACATATTCGCTCTTCTCTCATGGAACATGACAGGAAACATTGCCTCGAAAAAGTCCAACCTTTTTATAATTCACTAAAGATTTTGGTGAGCATAGTTACGACATTCTCATCATTGTTGTTGCTCTTGATCGAGCTTCATCGACATCCCTGACCACATGAGCAATCTTGATGTATTGAAAATTTTTTCAATGAACTGCCTTTGGGAATTTCCACGACAGAGAAGATTTTCGTGAGCCTATGGCTCGTCGCAGTTTTTCATCCAACAAAACAGTTTCTTTTGTTTTTGTAGCCAACTCAATACATTGATATGGCTCGTAAATGCTTCTCATGTTCTCAAATGAGTGGCCGGATTACGCCAGCTGCTCAAATTGTGGCGGTCTTCCAGTTGATCAACTAACTCATTTCTATATTCATACCCCGGAGTGTGAGTTTGCATTACCTGGCTAAATTTAGAGACAGACTGATTTTTCAATCTGATGGATGGATTAAGTCTTGCTTTATGAGTTGATAAATCGATATATTACTGCAGCAAATATTGCTCGATATAAAGTAGTTCACGTTCACAGAAGATTTTTGAACATCATGTTAATTTATTACAGGTGACAACCACCGAGTTGGACACCCTATTTCCACAATATGATCAGAAATTCTTTCAACCAACGGTGCACACATACCGAAGGTGCATCACAACCATCCTGGCATTTCTAAATCTGTCAATCGTTGCATTTCCTGCCATGCATGCTACCAGCGTTCCACAAACAAATTCTGAAATACCGAATACGATGAGTGCAACAAGGTGGAGGGTATGCAAACAATCTCGTCGTAACCTGGCACATTCAATGGTTCAGACAGATTTGAGCATTCCTGTGTAAACATTACGAATTCGGAGTTGGTAGGAGCAGTTCTTATACTATAATGTGATCTTACAATCCGATGTGCTGCACAAATTCGTTGTGAACACAGGAAGTAGATAAGCGATAATTTCCACTAACGTACTACGGTCTGTGCCCCCAAGCTGTTGTCCATCCAAGTATTATGTGAATCCATGTACTACACCAGTTCGGTTCCAGATTGTTAAAAACCGCCCATCCATCCTGAGGCTGACCATCGTGCGTGTCAATTCATATGATTGCCGACCATACAAAGCTCGTTCGCGTCTACAACCGAATAAACGCGATAAACTATCAACCAGTGAGAGCAGAGCAGAGCTGCATGCTACCGAGCGCGTCCCCAGGTCGCGGATAGGGGAACGGCCATCATCTCGCGGCTAACCGTGAATAAGCTGGGCTTCGGCCTGCCGAGAAAGCGGTCGCGGACGACCAGCGGCAGCGCTCGAGGGTGTGGTGGGTTTACCCCTGGCAAGCGTTCTCCACACAAAACACCACATATATCTGTGAACAGCACTGTGACGTGACGAGCGTGGCCCGTCACTAAATATGGCCGTTGCTCCTTATCGAGACCCATTGCTCTACAAGGTTTTCCAGCAGAGGTGAATGAACCGAAGACTGGCCACCGGTTCATCTGGAACATTACTGCTACCTTACAGTCCGCGCTTGGTTGCGCAAAGGCTAGAGTGCCTCTTCGAACAAAGCCTACTCTGGACCGGGCGACCCAGTAGTACAATAACCCGTAAAGCATACAACCCATGAACCTTGCTCTTACGACTATGTACTCTGATGCTTTCTTATCCTGCAAAATACATTCTACACCGTACACACCTTGTTCTCCCAGCCTCCACCCACCTTACCTCTACCCTCCCAACTCTATTCCATCTCTCTCGGGTACTCCAGACGATCGTACTAACAGTAGTGCCTCGGGCGGAAATTATGCCGCTGTTCGCTCTTGTCCTACCTCTACTGCTGTCCAAGTCTCACCGAATCCTCCACCAGCTGGAGCCCTTCTTCGCCCTCGATGCCCATTCAAACAAACCACGTTTAATGTGCGCACTGTGATGCGTATTGGACAACAGGCGTGATTAGCTCGTATGCTCGAAACCCTAACCATCGACGTGTGTTGTATCCAAGAAACTCACATTCAAGACTCCAGCTCCATTATTTGATTGACGTCCCCGTCAAACCCATCAGTGAAATTTCACTTACGCCTCTCTGTGGACCCTGAGGCTGCGGCTTCTGGTCGCGCTGGTGTCGGCGTGGCTCTCAGTGAGAGAGCTGAAGCCGCCCTCATATATTGAATCCCAGTTTACAGTAGGTTGTGCGCAGTGAGACTCAGAGGTTCATGCAAGATAAGCAGCCGTCGCCACGATAGACGAAACTTGTTTGTCGTATCGGCGTACTCTCCAACAGACCGCAGCCCAGATGCAGTCAAAGCTGAATTTTACCACAACCTACACGACTTCTTGCGTAAAGCAACCTGGACTGATATCGCGATGTTAGCGGTAGATATGAATGCTAGAGTAGGCCGGTTGAATTCGAGTGAGGCGCACCTTGGAGGTCCTTTCGGATTAGATTCCTGTCGCTCGGAATAAGGGGAGTGGGTGTTGGGTTTGTAATCTGACCACCGCCTGTTCCTCGCCAGTACGAACTTCAGACGATCCAACTGCCGGTACGCCACTTGGCGCCTGCTCTCCTCAAGTCAGAGACGGACTCCGATCGACCGCGTCGCGATAAGTCACAAATGGTGGGGCAGCATTCAAGACTGCCGATCGTACTGGAGCACTCCTCTCGAATCCGACCACGCATTGGTATGCGCTGAGCTGTCCGCGTACTTCGATGAGCGTCCCAAACGCACGACACCACGACGGTTAGACTGTGATAAGCTGTTCAAACCAGCTTGTCTAACTGTCTTCCAAAACACCCGGGCTGCAAAGCTAGTACCAACCCCACCCGATGACGTTAACCAGCACTGGTCGCTTATCAAGAATGCTCTACCTTCTGCTAACTTAGTTAGTTTTGGCTCGACGCGTCGCGTCGTGACACCCTGGATCTCTGCAGAGTCTCTACGCCTGATTGACGCACGTCGGTCTATTCCGACCGGCAGTGAGCATAATGAAACACGACTCGTAAAGAGACGTTAACCTAATGCAAGCCTACGCAGAGACCGCGATATTTGGTGGTCTCAACGCCCATCAGAGATGAAACGTGCTGCCGCCATGGGTACTTCCCGTAAGCTGTTTCATTTCATCCTAGTTATCAGTAGGAAAGCGTTGGGTGGGAGCAAAACGATTTGCGAAGCTGACGGTTTGCCCATTCACAATCAACAGCGACGTCTTGCACGCTGGGCGGAACACTTCAAAGCAGAGTTTAGCTAGCCTCCAGCACCAGCTTCTCACAGCTATTCCGGCACACGTCCCATGGTCTGTCTCAACAGACCCATCTTCTGAGGCGGAAATCCATAAGGAGATCCAAGCCCTGGGTTGTCACAAAGCGCCGGGCTCCGATGGTCTTTCCCCAGCCCTATTTAAAGATGGCGGAATTAAGCTTCCTAGAGAACTACAAGTTCTGTTCTCTGAAGTGTGGAACACTGAGCATGCCCCCTCCTCGTGGCGGAATCGATGGCTTTCTCCATCTTCAAAAAGGGCCTGTGCAATGACTGCGCCAATCATAAGGGCATAAGCCTTATCCCGATAGCGTCAAAGCTGTTGGCGTCTGTCATTCTCCTCCGATTGTACACTAAGCGTGAGGAGCAGGCCAGGTTTTGTGCCGGTCGTGGATGCATCGATCAAATCTTCACCCTCCGACAGCTGCTAGAGCACTGTCATGCCCAACAAAGACCAACGATCATTGTATTCCTAAACATCCGTGCGGCCCTCGACTCTATCGATAGGACCGCACTATGGAACTGTTTGACGAGGAATGGAGTACCTGAGAAGTACGTGTCGATCCTCAAAGAGTTGTATCGTCACACTTCAGTTCGGATTGGAGCCTATGGCCAACTTTCGCCACCCTTCACCATCTCCGGTGGAGTTCGGCAAGGCTGCCCTATATCCCCATTTCTTTTCAACTTCGCCAGACAAGATGTTCTACATAATGCTTTGTTCGGTCTAGCAAACGGTGGAGCCGAATTCCTCCCAGGGAACATAACACTTGACTTGGAATATGCCGATGACATCGCCCTGTTGGGAGACAACACACGGGCAAGCCAACACGCGTGGAACCGCTTGGAAATAGAGGTATCCAGGTGTGGTATGTGCTTTGCACCATCAAAGTGCAAAGTGTTCAAGACTGGCAGGAGCCTGTGCCTGCACTCACCCTCTGCGGTGATCAGCTAGAAGTAGCTGAGAGCTTTAAGCACCTCGAGAGCTTGATAGCTTGATCGATTGAGAGTTAGAGCGGCTTCCGACAACGTGCGACACCTATGGCGCCGCCATGATATCCGACTGTTCCTTAGGGAAGGGTGTACATCGCCGCGGTTCGCAGTGTTCTGCTTTACGGTTGCGAGACTTGGCCCCTCAGCGTTGAGGATGCTAATCGACTTTCTGTATTCGACCACCGATACCTTAGAAGCATTGCTCGTTTCTGGTGGGAACACCAGGTGAGTAATGACGAGGTTCGACGTCGTGTGTTGGGTGCGGATAGTCGTTCTCTACTAGAAGTAATCGCTCTACACGGCCTCCGATGGCTTGGCCACGTATTGTTATTCCAGATATGTTCCATTTTCCCGTGTTTAACTGTTTCATNTTCACCCTGTTCTGTACTCCAATCCACCTGTCCCCTTTCATTGCTATTGTAATTATCGTTGTTGCGTTGGCATCGTGCTTGCCTACAAGCGTGTGATATATATATATATTGAGACTTCCGATCGGTAGTCCAATGCTCCTGACCGACTTGCTGTTAAAAGTGCTCATCTGACACCTTGGAGAACATGCGGGAGAGTTAGTCAGATAGATGAGGCCCTTTTGAGGGTGGAGATTTGTAGTGATCCTATGCACCGTGTCAACGTCAGTGAGTGAACCACTCGGTACAACTTAAGCTCAACCAATGAGAAGCCATTATTCTGGATCAATCACAAGCTACTAGGTACAAACGGGAATCAAAGGTTCAGAAAAGCGCGAAGTACTATTGGTCAACGGCGTTCAGCCAACGATATCCATTCATACATATTATTTAGTCGCATTAACTCCTTACAATAAATCAACCGCTACTTCTGTGTTGTAATCTCACTGAAATTCGTTCAATACTAATTTTTCCTTAACAGAAGTCATTAATCTATATTCTTCAAATATGTGACGCCTTGCGCCCGAATACGCAAACGTTTGAAACCCAAACAAGACAACTGTAACGGAAGCCAGTCGTCACTTTCACATCAGTTCTTCATGACAGCACGAATTTGTCTCTAATAAAACAGCGACAACTATTGTCACCTAGATCAGATTATGTGATAAGGAAAATATTTCTCATAATATTTTTTTTAATTTTCATCACTTGACAATGCATTTGAACGTTAATTTTCAATTCCCACCGTGTAGATATCAGAAGTCGGAACCTCAGAAAAGTCCGAAATCGGTCGAGAAAACCGTGAAGTCCGTTGAAGTACAAACCATGTGGACAGGTGGCTATTTCCCTGATGACACCGGACGATCCCCTCCCGGTGTTAAAACATGGATTCCGTCTACTGGCTATGTTCCCGAACTGACTCACGCCCCACCCTTACAACCGAAACCGATCATGAAAACGGTTTTAGACGACAAGGCGTTGCAAAGTTAGTTATTAGATTTGCACTGTTAGTGTTCGGTTGATGCATTGAACACAAAACTCCTGGTGAATCAACATAAAAAAGTTACTGCGCAACTCACAGTGAGCAAGGGGGGGGGGCGAAAGGTTATATGAACCTAAGCACTTCTGTTGGACACAAATGGAATGTAACAGTCTCGTTTTTATAAGTGAATCTCACAGTCAGTCATCTGGTTTTCCCGTTTTAGGAGATATAGAATGTTGTCTTGGTATGCTTGTCGATGATCTCTGGTTTTATGAACTACTGGCCTGCATAGCACAACAACCGATCAATTAAAATAACTTTGCTTAAAAAAAAGCTGAACAGTCTCGCTGGTTACGTAAATAGATGAGTTGAGCCAACGGCGCGTTTGTTTGAGCAGCACTCAATGAGCCTGTCTGATGTGCACGCANACAAAATCAGTATATAGATATATATATATATATATATACATGGTGTATAAGTGCGTATGTTTTACATGTTTTGCGATTAATGTGAATACATCAATTTGACTGACTATTCATCTTTCATCATTCGGTTTACATTCAGCTCTGACCGAATACAATCCGTGCATTGTGGCTCTGGACAATATGTTAAAACAACAAATGAATATTACACGAGACTTTTTAGCCACACAACGACAACTACACAACGCGATCAGTACAGCTCTAAATCGTTGCCTGACAAACGATTATATCACCTGGGAAAATACAGCAAAGGTGAGTGTTTGTTTTTCAAACGCATTTGTACCCTATTTTGGCTATGTGCGTAACATCCCATACCGTGATTGGTGGATATATAGAAGGAAACTTTACAGTCAAAAGAATATCACTCGTTGATTGCGTTATATCTATATATATTCACACTTATTATCTTTTGACAACGAGTCCTAGTCTGGATCGAAACGTCACAATAAATACTATCACTCAGTGCTCGCCTTCTCCTTTTCAAAATATATATATCACTGACTTGCGAGCACGCTTGGTGCAAATGCAACAACTAAAATAACGGAAGGCGGCGGGTAGAAAGAAGAGTGAAATCTGAATCAAACAGTTTCAATGCNTCGCAAACTTTTTGATATTTTTTGTGCTGTTTTGTTTTTATGGGGCACGGGATTTCAACAATCAGACCCTACAGCATTAGCACCACTGACTTCTATTCTGGACTATATCTCTCAGCGTCTCTAACTACAATCCTCATTCTTTGGGCCCCGAGCAGAAAGACGAGCTACATCAACCGAAGCCAAGGCATAAACTGGCTTCTTCATATCTCTACTCCTCAAAGTGTTACGGTGAGAAATGAGATGGGGGAGTGATTCACATCGACGGAGAATCCGAAGAACATTCAGAATTATTTCTTCGATCGGCAAGCAGTTTGAAGATTAAAAGTTCTGAATTCTGAGCGCTAGGCCTGTCGATAAAACAAGGCTGTTGCGGTGGTTATGTCATTTATAATCATCAATACGTGGATGTGAAAAGCAAAAAAGTTGATAAATTGATAATGGTCGGTGGTGGCCCAGTGGCAGGAGGAGGATGTGTTCGAATCCCACCACCCCTGCCTGGCTTTCATCGTTATGTGTTTTACGGCAGCCCTTTGATTGGCCGCTTCCCCCCTCTTGGTAGTCTTATCACTGTATATTCAATAAAATGAAGGAAAAAGGGAAGGGAATTACGGCCAGCAAAGAACAATGAAGTTGATGGGATTTCCTTCCTGTGTGAAGAGTATTTGAAAGTACGATGTATAAGACTTTGGAAATATGTGTAGAAAAATCCCACAAAAAGATCTCATAAATAATCGACCTCTGTTGAGCACGAGGGAGGCTGAAGATGACGGGCTAGAATGGGATGGAGTCTGAAACTAGATTGAGAGGATGAAAACATACTTTTAGAGCAAGAGGAACGAGATTTTTCTTGCTCAAAGGGAATACTTCAGCTTTGGATGATAGAATAAATCGCCTTTAGCTTTTTTTATTTCTCCGATCAGTATATCAGAATTATTTACCCATTCTTTAATAATTAAAGGGAAGACGGAAAATTCTATAGAAAACCAACTATTCAACGGTTTCCTACTACTCGAAACTGTCGAGTTTTTTTCTGACCTAGAGCGAATTCAACCACCCCATTTACCTGACTGCATTTTTCCTAATACATTTACCGAAGTTTCAAAGTTGTTTGTTTCCAAAACATCAAGGTAGGTATATATCTTATTATGTGAATCTTGCTTCTCCATGTTTCTTTGATTTCTCGCTTTTTTAAATCATCGTATGTGTAGTGAAATTATTTGATGGTAGAGAACTAACACTGAACAGATGTTTTTCCTCGGTAAAACTTGCCAGTAGTGGGTTAATTTTGTCCCTGTCGAGCCTCACAGCGCGTGGCTTCGGTTTTGGGGGGCTGAAACTTCTATCCTCGAGCCACAGAAACGAATGTCTAGCAGCGGTAATAGAATTTAAAACATTCGTTTTTAGTCTATGTGAACCCATAGGCATTGATTTTGAGTTGAAATTCCTTTCATTAAATTCAACTTTTTTCTTACAGATTCTTCGATCTGGTCGTTCACCTTGATAGAAAAATCGGATGAAATTTCTGAGGGCAGACATTGGCATGGTCTATATGACCTTCCCTGGGGAAACTGGATACCGCTTATTTCGAAAAACCACTTGTACACAAGACCACTAAAAAACCGTACAACACATACGTACACTGATACCTACTTGTCTACGATAAAGTACGTAGAGTCCGAGCACATTTGATTTTCTCCGACCGACGCATCCTACATACACCCGCGATTTGTGTTTTCATTTTTTTACCAGGCTGTTTTAACAGTTGCCTGGAGTTAGCACGCACATTGACCAGTTCCGGACACATGCTCACGTGAGTCTCGTGAGTAATCATGACATTGCTTTCTGTTCTTCAGGTCCAATCCTTTGAACAAGGAGAACGCGAATCACACCCTTGATAATCCGTTCAACGGATAGAGGTGTTCCTGTATATATTCACTCTTCTCGTGCTCTCATCAAACCCGGATTGTTTAGATAAAGGGAATCTCATCAAGTAAAAGAAATTCCTGACGTTAGCTACATATTTAGGCGACTACATAGTAAAAACAATAATTACGACAGAGTTCGTGACAGTAACACCAACCATATTCCTTTTCATGTAATGATGATGATCTCCCCGTGAAAATTCTCATTGTAACTGTGACAGCTTAGATGATCGATGAACTTCTAACAAGCCAACTTCCTGGAATCTCTTTCCTTCATGGAAGTAGTTTATGTGATTTCCATCTCTATTATATATTGTCAAACAAACATCAAGAAATCAAACTGAATAAAACGAAGTAGTAAGTACGGCCAGTGATATCAGTTCTACTGCAAATAGTAACATTGTGCTCTACTAAACCAAGCCTGTAAAAAGTCGAACCCTAACAAATTAGCCACTTTAGAAGCTACCAAAATTTATAGGACCCGAACCTTTCTTTCGGGCCCCGACCAGGAAGGCGAGAGACACCTACTCTACCTAATGGCTCTGTGAGTTTCTTCATGCCTCGTCTCCACGTCATCTGTTGACCTCTACGTGGTTTCCTCCAGCCCGGATTAGCTACAGCGAGTAAAGCGCGGTGCGGCAGACGACAGCTAGACATACGCAATACGTGCCCCAGCCAGCGAACCCTAGTAATCTGAAATCGGTGTGCTAGCAGGTTTATTCCTGATAGACTGTGTATAAGCTCGTTTGATATTAGCTCCTTAGAAACCAACAAACGTGAAAGGTGCAATGGAGTTGTGAAAAGCAGTGGTACGAGTATATAAAATTTTTAATTTATTGCGGGCGACAGAAGTTGAAATGAAGCTAGATAGGGCTATGTGTAACAGATGTGACGCGTCGGACAAGATGGAGTCGCACAGACAGTCACACGCATTCAGATGTTGGTTGACAATGGAATCGACCAGCTCCTCATAAGATACAGCTCCATACCTAGAGACCGGGAAAGATAACGGGAGAGCAGTAGGTCCAATGGCACAAAATACATGAGCAAATAAATTTGGAGATAATGTACGATGACCCCCAGATGCCGAAGGCGTGAAATATAAAAGGATAACTTTCTGACTTTAAGAAATGTTTGCTCTATGTGATAGGACCATTTGAGGTCAGCTGACACGAAACATCCAAGATATTTGAAGTGTTGTGACCTTTCAATTATTAAGTTATTGGAGGCAGATAATCCAGAAAGAGTTGATGGCCTACAGTCAATGAAAAACAAAACTTCAATGCATTTATTGGGGTTTAAAGAAAGATTAAAACCATCGGACCATTCAGAAATGGAACTAATGGGTGATTGAAGGGTTTTTGTTGTGAGATGCACCACCAACTACCATGTTATCGGCTTATTTAAAAGCGAAAACATTTGGGGTGACTGACAAGTCTTTGTATATAAAAGGAGAACAGAAAAGGGGGTAAAATTACACTCTGGTTTACAGTAACAGTGGAAGACCTAATACCATTGAGACAAGTGAATTGGTGTCGGTCGGTAAAATAGTCATGCATCCAATTCAAAAGTGGCGGGAGATTATTTCGCCGTACCAGTGTCAATAGGATGTTTCTATTGACACGCGTTTGTGCAGTCCAAGAAACACGTGAACAATTTTGTGCTTTTGGTCTGTAGTGGATGAAACAGAATGTTTAAGATAAGCAACAGCATCTAAAGTAGAGCGACGCCTACAATAAGCAAACTGATTGGAATAACGAAAATCAAGATTAGAGG